GTATATATCTCAATATTTACGTTGCAGTTTGTTTTGAACCAAGTAGGAGAGTGGGTATTTCTTTTCTGGAATTGCAATCTTGGCACTGACAGCATATAGTCACTCAAACACTATTCCATTATATACACATTCCAGTAATGCTTATTTAGTGTTTGCATTGTGGTGGCACGTGTCCAAAAGAGAGAGCAAAGGAAAACAATAAGTTGCTTGCTCAAGAGCTGACATCATAGTGTGAAATTTAAGTACTTGTTTTTGTGGTATTGTTATTAATCATGGGTCTGTGCAGGGGTCATCCTGTAATTCCAGCTACTGGAGTCCTGTGAATGCAAAGCTTGGCCTGAGAGTTTTCCTAGGGCTGTCTTTCATCTTCAAGTCTCCTTTATAGCAAACACACCAGAAGAACACAGCTCCAATTTGTCTTAAGCTTAACAAAAAATGTGTTTCTTGTGTTGTAATTCCTGAATTTGTTGTCTGTTTTATTAGCAATATATTTCATTGGATGATTTGGGACCACTCAAGCATTTTATCTGTGAATAAGGTTTCCTTGTCTTATTTTACATTTGCTTATTAGATGTTCCCACAAAGCTTTTTTTTTTTGGGGGGGGGCTTCAGTTAGAAAAGTCGAAGAGGTGGACCTGGAAAAATTTTTACTTGATTCCACCGGTGGACAGGTCCACCTGTTCACCATTGATGTAACCAGGAATGATGATGTATTTGATGAGGGTTAGCTTGGTTTTTGCATTCCAGGCTTTCTTAACCTCTTCAGCTAGAGACAAATGTACAGAACATGGCAAGGAGAAATCTCTCTGGCACAGAGGCTGTTATTTCTCCTCCTTAGCTATCACATACAGCACTAACATGGTGCTGGCTTTCAGGAGCCTTCAAATGCCCAGTTTGAAGCTGCTGGCCTGGCACAATAAAACACGATATGTGACTGGTTGTGAGAGTACCTTGGAAAAAATGGCATTTTCATCTAACTTTTTTCCGAAACCTAAGATCAATTAAGAAAATTTTTTCTAGTGGAAAGGTTGGGGTGTTTCTAAGCCCATTCCAAATACACATTTATTCACTTCTCTCTCTTAAGAAAGGTGGCAGTGGTTCTTTAGATCTGTTTCCACAGATTAGGTTTATATCCCTAAAAACCAACTCTCATTAAATTATCACATAAAATCAAACCTCCAACCTCTCCAATGTGTTTGCAGAACAATACTCAAACTGATACCAATGCTTCTGGGCAGTGCCAGACTCAAGACCTTAGGACCCACTGCAGTTGTGTCTGCTTGCTTTATGTGTGGTTTGGAGGTTTTATAATCCTGTCTTTTTGAAGGTGAAAGTTAAACACCATAAACATTCAAGTTGATTTATATGGGAGGTTTGATTTTGTAACTCATTCCTTCTGTTCTTGTGTGACTACTGGCTCTGTAATCCAGAAGCATGGAGAGGGGGAATACTGTGTGAGTGTCAAGGTGATCAGTAAAGCTGTAGTGCAGGTCTTCAGTGGTCCAGCCCCTTTTCCTTGAGAGGTCCAAAGGCCATGCAAAACAACTCCAAAAATGTCTGGACCAGTGGTCTCTGGGACTGTGTAGGACTAGTGGGACCCACTCCCACTGACAGTAAAACAGGACTGCCCTGAGAGCTGAACTGGTGTCTCCAAATAAAATCTCTGTGTTGGGGCAATGACACCACCCAGATTAAAAGGTTGGTCAGTCACAAGCAGTGGGGCCAGAGACAGACATGCAAAAATGTCTTCAAAGCACACCAGGGTGAGCACCATAAGTTGTGTGAATAAAATGCATTTCCCAAGAGCCAAAGTCATAACTTCCCATTGCTTCCCAGAACAAATCCTGTCTGCTCTGTTTATTAGGTGGGACTGTGTATAGGCAGTCTCTCTAAGTGTGTTTATTTTGAACTCATCAGTTGTTCAGTAATCTCAGGCAGCTCTGGGAGATTTAACTCAGATAGAGGATTAGGCTGGGGGTCGTGGGGTCAGTGATATTAAGATAGAGAGAGGGGAAGGAAACAGCGTTGGTTTTGTGGCGTTATCTGAAGAGTAAGGAAAAATAAATTCGGGTTTTAAGCTGCCTTTAACCTGACTCTGAAGGAAATGGTCTACAAATCCAGCCAGGAAGCAGGTGACTGTGATGAGACCCCGCTTCTCTTTAAATCTGTTTTGAGCCACCCAGCCAAAATCCATGGTGGTTATGGTTTGATTAAGCAAGACTTCTCTAGAAATTGATTAATTACAGTTTTCCTTTAGCATATTCAAGTGTTAAAGTTTCTGATTTTAACTTTCGTCCTAAAATAAAATCTCTGGAGTAGCTTTTGGGGCAGAAGTTTGAACCCAGTGGTGAGCTCCCCACAGTGACAGCAGCATACTGGATGGGTTCAGCTGGTGGCCAGCATCACCTCTAGGTCCCAAAACTGCTCTGAGGTAGAAAGCAGGAAAATTAATGTCCTGGCACCAATGAAATCATGGGGGACCACCTGCCAAAACCTTCAAAATAGCTCATTCTCTCTCATTTAGAGTCTGTGTGTCTTATAAGAAGTGAACTCATACAGTAGACTTCTCTGCAGGCTGATTTTTGAGGAACACATAGACAATCTTCTTCGAGATCTCTAACCCCCTGTAAATGTGGCTGAAATAGTGCAATAGGTTCCAAACTTATTCAGAGGAGAAAGACCCACAGCATTAATGCACAGGGCTGGATTCCCCAGAATAACAAAAAAAAAAAAAAAAAAAAAGGAAAAAAAAGGGGGGGGGGGGGGAGGGGGGGGAAGCCATTGAGAGTAAAGTAAGGATTTGTTTATTGCCTTCTTAATATTTTATCATAAAACACAACAGTCTTGCCTCAGGGCTTGTTGGTGGTTTGTATATGTGTGTGTGCCTGTGTGTATACATATTTTTGTATATAAAAATCCAGTAACATCCATTGTTTAAAAAATCAAAAATGAGAAGGATTTTGCTAAAAGCATTTTGGGAAAACCTCTGCTCTCATTTTTCCTGTCAATGTTTTTCTAAGCTTTTATTTTTATTAGTCAAAATGTTTAGAATCCCCAGGAAATCCTGGGATGAACCATTTCCTCTTCGAGCTGTAGCCCTTAGGGGAAAAAGAAAAAGCTCAGACCCTTTCAAACGTTAGAAATTTTTCAAACTGTGTTTTTTTGCATATTTTTTAAATTAGAGAAAAACTAAGTTAGGAAGATGCTTAACTTCAAGCTGTGGTCCTGGGAAAGCTTGATCTCTTTGTAGAAAAGCCTGAAGAGACCCTTAGATTTGAGCAAGGAAATCTTTTAGGCTTGGCTCTTAATGGGGAACCGATTGCCAAATTGAGGTATAACAGGTTCAGTTGAAAGACCATCTTTTTTTCGTTTTTTCAAAAGTAAATTAAAAACTAGCATTCGCTTTTCTTCAACCCAATTTGTGTGTGTTAGTTAGCATGTAACAGCTTTTTATTGAGGCTGTTAGTGCCCTGAAGATCCTTTGTTATTATTAATATTACTAACATTGTCACTGTTATTATTAATAATTAAATATCCGATACTCTTCTTTTTATATACATGAGATTTTGCAATTTCCTTTCCTTCACCTTCAGATAAACTTCAATGGGAATCATGATTTTAAGAAAAACTTCCATCCTGCAAATACATATGTAAATTGCTGATTTTAAACTCCTCTTGGGTTCACTCCTTGAAGTGGGCTCAGTTGCTAAAATTTAAGAAGGTAAGAATTCGGGTCCCAGACTGGAGCTCAGCAGGGATTACCTTGCCCAGATTTTGAGATGATTGTTATTCTCTGGGAAGGATGGGGCACTGCTGTTATAAAAGAAAAGCTTAAAAAGTGGTGAAATATGAGACTGAGGGGTGCAGGAGTCTTTTCATGAAAAATGACACATCAATATAATTTTTCAGAAGTCTGAATTCACAGTCACTACATTCCACTTTATTTTAGGAAAAGTGTGTTTGTTTATTTATATAGTTCATGACAAAAGTCTTCACTGCTGTTCTTCTGATTTATTCATCTACTTTTTATCAAGTTTCTTCAGCAGATTCTTGGAAAGCAGAACATGTAAAGCCCAGACTTGGTGGTTCAATAACTGGTATATATTACTCCCACAATCTGTCACAAATATAAAAAGATTATTGGTAGTTCATTTGAAATTTAGTTGGTTTATTTGGCTTTTTAAATTTTGTTTTATTTGGTTTTTTGTTGGGGAGGCGGCGGAGGGGTTGTGGTAGGGGACTTTTTGTTTGTTTGCTTGAGTTTTTTTAGGCTTTGTTTGGTAATTCAAGGGGAAAAAATCTAATATGTAAGGTTTTGTTTTGGTTTTTTTTTTGTTACCCAAAATGACACAGTAAATAGTGCTTCTGCTTTTTTGGGTTTTTTTCAGGTTTGGGTTGGGGATACTGGACCAGTCTGCTGGGACAGTGTTAGAGATCTGTTTGTTTTCACTTTGCAAATGGGTGTGTGAAGGAAGAACGACAAAAGGAGGGAAACTAATAAATGAATTTCCTAAAGTTTCTGTTATTACAAGTGTGCACAAAGTTCCAATACATCACCTTTGACTTCAGAAGTTCAAATTATTTTGATTCTTTTCTCAAAAACCTGTCAACTGAGTTTGGGCTTTGGATTTAAACTCGGGCACAGGAAACAGTCAGAGGCACTAGACCTTCCCCCATTTAGGGGAGTTTCCATTCCAGTGTCTGTCATGAAGCAAATTAACCAGCACAGAGAGCCCAAGAGTTCTGAGACTGTGACCTCTGAGCAATATGTATCTGTTGTGAAGTTATACTCCATGGAGAGTATTATGGGGTCTTGCACCTGAATGCTTTTCCATTTGGGAACTCCTAAAGACCATCCCTTGTTACTGTGGGCCAGAATGGATAAAGGGAATAGACTTCAGGTGCAGGAAAGTCTTTCAAAGTTTTGTCCTTTAGTCTTTGTTGTTTTGATTCCTGCTATCTTTGACTTTTTCTCTCTTTTCCTGCCTGTGTTTCTGCAGGTGCTGTTTGCTCTAAACCAGACTCTGCTCCAACACGAAAGCCTTCGAGCAGGGAGTTTGCAGGCCCCTTACACCACTGAGGATCTCATCAAGCACTACAACTGTGGAGACCTGAATGCTGTGATATTCAACCATGACACTTCTCAGGTGAGCAGAATTGTTCCAGATGGGCCAGAGAATTGAGGAAAAATCAGCTGCTTTAATAGCAATATCCCAGTCATCACTTCATATTCTGATCCCTCTTTCCCCTCTTCCTTTTAATGCCCTGTGTTTTCTTTCCACACGTGCCTCATTTGCCTGGTGAGAGAGTGGAATTTCCCTGGTTTTGCTCAGGCTCTGGGGAATCATAGAATGGTTTAGGTTCAAAAAGACCTCCATGATCATGGAGTTAACTGCTAAGCCAGCACTGCCAAATCCACCGCTAAACCGTGTGCCCAATCACCACATCCACACATCTTTTAAATAACTCCTGGGATGGTGACTCCAACACTTCTCTGAGCAGCCTGTTCCAATGCTTGACAGCCCTTCTGATGAATAAATTTTTCCTAATGTCCAATCCAAACCTCCCCTAGTGCCACTTGAGGCTGTTTCCTCTTGTCCTATTGCTTGTTACTAGGAACAAGGAATGGACTGCCTGGAAAGCTTTCCAAGAGATGTTCTTGAAAAAAGGTTAATTCTGGATGTTTGGGGCTGTTGAATGCAGACTCCTCATTAAGGGTGGAGGGGGAATCTTTGTAATGTTTGAGCATATATATGAAGAGGAAGTGGACCTTATGTAAATACTCTGTAAAGTAAATAACCTCTCAAACATGTCATAATTCAGTAATTCTGTGTGTGTCTCAGACAGCCCTTCAGTCTCTGTTTATCATAGTTATCCAAAGCTATTAAAAACTCTCAAGGGAGCAGAAATCTGCTTTCCAGACCAGTTTGATGCTTCATGGCAAACTGAGATTCCTCTTTCTCCTTTCCAGTTAATTCTATGAAAACTTGGTCTTTGGATGTCATCTCCAACATCTCCTTTTTTTTGGGATCAATTACCAGATTCCAGTTTCAGGTGCAGTGACTCACTTGGGGCAAACTGTGTACATTTGACAGCCACACTATTGTATGTCTCTTGCCAGTGAAAGAATTAAATCATGATAGCAGTCCATGATAGCAAATGCAAATCAAGGAGAGCTGTGTGACTTCCAGAGAGAACTGAGACAAGGTAAGGTCAGTCTGTGGATTGGGGTAGAGGTCTCTCAGACATTTTTATCTTGCCATCACTATCTTGGGTTGCACAGGGCTCTGTGGGTCACTTGTTTCTCAGAAGAACAGCTGGGCAAGCAAGTGGGGCCCCACATGGGATAAAACCCCTTTGGTGTCCCAGTTAACTCAGTCCTAGAAAATGAAGCATTGTTTTAGCATGACTGAGCAGGACATACCAGGGTGGTTAATGTGGCAGCACTGGAACAGAAGAGTGTGTCATACCAAAGCTGCCAGAGCTGTTCATTCTGGTCAGCCTTGCACTGAAAAGTAAGGGGAGAAAGCAACTTGGGTAGGAATATGTCTTTAAAGATGGGGAATATGAGTTAGAAAAGGTACAGAGCTCATGACTTTAGAGGTTCCTGGAGAAGCCAGTGATTATAACTATTCCTGAAATTTTGAGGCACAGCACACATGATAAACAAGGAATTAACAAGCAAGATGTAGTGGAATATTTGCCATGGATGCTATAAAAGGACTGCTGGTAGTCAAACCCCATGAAGACAGTCCTGGTGTCACCTTTTAATCTCCACCAGTGCAATTTCTTCTAATAAGTAAAGCCTTTGTCCCTAAGATGAGTTTTGGTCATTCATAGCAGTTGCATGGACTCACAGACACCTCTGATTTATTGACACATTGTCCTGTAACAGACCTGTGGGTTAGCCTTGAGAGGAGCCGTTTGCTGTAAAAACTTCTTTATTCCTGCAAATTATTGGATTAAGTGTGAGTTTCAAAACAGTGTTAAAGACAGAAGAAAGAAGCCAACAACCAGTCAGAGTTCAAGCACTGGTGTTAGTCATGGTCCCAGAGTGCACACAGTTGATGGAGATTATAACGCTTACAGGCCATGGAAAATTAAAATCCCTCTATGTATACTGGTCCCTGCAGAACTCTAAATATTGTGCAGTACTGTTGGGTAAAGAGTTTTTTTGTTTGGTAGTGTTTTTATAAACCAGCTCTATACCATTTATTTTAACTGCAAGCAGAACAAAATAGAAAATTAAAACGTAAAATAAACTCCCTATTCAAGTCAGGTTTTGCCAGTTGGGGTCATTCCAAAGTTTGTTCTCTGTGGTTTTTTGCAAGGATGAAAGACTCTGTCATGAAGAGTTTTTGCCATTTGGTTACCAAATTAGATTAGCCTGACTCAGATATTACACATGAGAGATTCCCCGTGGGATCTCTCTCTGGAGACATTAAATGTAGGCACAGGGATTTACTGTGTGCTGAGTCTGTGACAGTTCAGGGCAGGTACCCATGCCAGTCCTGGGACAAGAGTGCCACAGTGATTTTAGGTGTGTCCCTTCTTTCATGATATCCAGCTGCTGGCCCAGATCTTTAGAGGCCTGATAAGAGTTGAAGCTGGTACTGTTAACACAGCCTTGAAATATCCCATAGAAGGGAACAAAATACCAGGAATGGTGCTGTAAGAATCAACACCCATGTGAATGCTGGAGGCCAGGGAATTCACCTCCATCCTGTGCAGCTCAGGAGAACTGCAAAAGGATGGGACTCACTCTTTGAGGACTGATTTGGGATGCTGTTTAAGGTTATTCATTGTCCCTTGAAGGTTATCAGGAGCTGCAGAATAAAGGTAAACTGACCATCAGTTCAGAGCTGTTGGCTGAGGTGGCTGTAATGGACTGGGAAGGAGGTGACAAAGCCCAAGGTTGCTGTGGGGACAGTGGCAGGGAGAGTATTTATGTGGATGCAGTAACTTCCTAAACGCCTCCAGTGTGACTCTTCAGAGATGAAACAGCTTCAGTAGCTGTCTGCAAGATGCTGAGGTGCCTGTAGTGTAAAAATCATCTTGGAGCAGAAAGGACCAGAAGAGGAAACACAAGCACTGTTGACCTGGCATGTTACAGATAAATTCCTTCAGCCTCTTCAGCCTCCCCAAGAGAGTTTGGGAAGTGTGAGGTTTCCTGCATGTTCCTGAGTCCTGCAGCATTTGGGAGGAGAGGCAGAGTCCTTCTGGGACCAAGACTGTGCAAGGGGGTGCACAGACAGCATGGTGCTGGGAGGAAAGGTGCAAGGGAAGGTACTTACTAGTCCAAAGCAGGGTTTAGGTCTCAGGACATTTGTCACCCATGGGTAGGGACAGGACCACCCCAGGGAGATGCTGCTCACCTTGGGTTTGAGAACTGCAGCTTAGCCAGGGTGCCCAGAATGAAGGGGTGTGAGCAGGGCCCCATGTCCCTGACTCTTTCCTTTCCCAGAGCCATCAGCCCTGATGAGAGCGGAGGAATAAAAAAATCCTTCTCAGTTTCAGTGGGTTTTTAAAATTTTATTTTAATTAAGAACAGTGAAAGAGGAAACACCTCTGCTTTCCTGTGGTTATACTACATTCATCATTCCTCTCCCTCTCCATTTTTTTAAAACTTCATTTGCAAGCAGCATTTTTCCAAATGTAAAAATCCATATTTAAACTCAGTAAAATTTTATGGGGGTGAGTTTAATAAGTTATACTATGACCCAAAAGCGCAGTAGGAAACATCTCTCTTTTTTCAATAACCTTCTTCAAACACTTGATTCTCTTGTGACTTTTGCAATCAAGAGGCTTATGTTGAGGCTTCTGGGCAGAGAGTCAAAATGATACCAAAGAGAAAGTATTCTAAGCTAAAGATAGGATGAGTGTATTTTCTGTTCTTTCTCCAGACTATTTTTCCCCTTGAAGAAGTCAGCTTCTTTCTCTGCTTCTGTAAATGTTCCCTAAAGCAAAAATGGATTGGATTAGGTCAGTAGTTTTAACTTCTGTATTCTGTCTGAAGCTCTCACTAGGGAATTGAGGTCGGTGTGTTCAGAAGTATTAAAGTGCATAAAATCTGTTAGTTCAAAATCAGAAAATTATCTGTCTCCAAATGAAACTTTTTTTACCTGAGACAGCTGAGAAATTGCCTAATGACCCGAAACCTCCATGAAGAAAAAGTAGAGTGCAGAACAATTTATTGTGTGGAGTTTTTTCCACCAGTTACTTCCTGTGGTCAGTTTTGAGCTATTCAGTTTTTAAGGACAGTTCTGTAAAGCAAATTCATCTTTGCCAGCATTGAATTAGCTTGCTCTATGTTTCTTTGTACCCCAATGTACTCTTTATTAAGAGGAAAATTGAAAACCCAAGGCTTAGATTTTTGTCCTTCAGCCTTTCCCAAAAATTGTGGCTGTGGTCTCCAGCTATTGTCTCTCATCTTCTGTCCCCAGCCATTCTCCTGACCTGAGAGGCTCTTTTCTCAAGAGAAGATGGTTTTTCCTTTCTCATTGCTGATCTGGCCTGTTAGTGACCTGCAGCTTTGCTGATCCCTTTGTAGACAATTTCTACTGGCCCAACTACCAGGTTTCATACTTATTATTTACCTGTCCCATTTAGGGTAAACAGCAAGGGGCAAGAGTCATACCTGACACTTCCAAAGCATCTTTCATCCAGGGAGCCTTTATGGTTTGTGTGTTAGATTGTATGGAGAGCCCACTAAAGTAAAGGAGAATATTTCCATGCCTACAGCAGACTTTTTGTTCACCCAGCAGACCCAGCCATCACTGGATATCAGTGAATAAATAAAGTGAGTGACTAACCCATTTTACAGGCTTTGTGCTCAGCTCAGCATAAAGATCTCCTCATTGCCAGCGGGTGTAAGGTCTTGACTTCATCCCACACAGTTAAACAAGCTGTGCAGTGAAGTTGTTTGGTGGTCACCACAGCTTACAGACAGCTCCCAACCCCTTTCAGGTGCTGTGCCTCCTCCTTCAAGCTGTGTCCATCAGAAACAACCAAGCTTTTTGTATACCTTATTGAATGATGCCATCCATATCTCAAGTTGTCTCTGCAGTTTGAAATGCCCTGGGTGGATTTAGATAGTGAGTGTTGCCTTCTGAAAAGCATATGATGTCTTAATAACATGACATTAGAG